TTACACTTACAACAGAAACTGTGAATAAGCCAACCACTCGTGATCATAATTAGTGTCAATATAAGTGTCGGAACTTTGTGGCTGTGTGCCCTAAATACGACACGAACATCGCCATGAATGAATTCTGACACTGCTCTCTTGTATATTAATCACTTAAGGATACGGTAAGATAGATTAGGCACGGGCTAGAGGACCGGGGTTCGGTTTGTGCACCCTTCCATACCGTCTGTGGGTTTCACTCAGCCTCCTGTCGAATGATTATAGTGCTGCTTCACCGGTAGCAATGCATGACGCTAAGAACGATATTAAAAATGAATCGAGCTATTCCTCCGCCCCAGACGGCTTCATAGTTGGGCCCTGAATTAGCCACAGAGCAAGATTTACTCTTATCTTCATGCTATGTGTGATGGTTGAATTTCAGAGAATGTCAGACATGTCTGCTTCTACAGGCTTTGCAAAACAGATCATGCTCATCTTACGTAGTGACAAAGCTCTAACATCTCGGCACGGACCACGTAGAAAACACCGTTCCTCTGTTACATGCTTATCCGTTGCCGCTAGAACGTGTTTACCGATCCGCGTCATAGCAGCGGCCGTATATTCTTGCTTGTTAAGAATATGCTGCCTAGAATGCCTAGAAACGAATGTGATTTCAGAGCCGTTTGCTAGCAACGGCTCTTTCTCTGGCCTCACAGTTCTTCCTTTGAATAAATATGCCACAATACGAACACGGCAGCCGTAAAAATGTTCTGCGTGGAAGGAACAAGAGCGCCATTTAGTAGAGTATCCTGATATTTCTACATGATAGTCGTGAAAATAAGTGATGTGGGCCGGATTCATCTGGCTCAGAATAGGGACAAGTGGAGGGCTCATGTGAACACGGTAATGAACCTTCGGGTTCCATTCTTGAGTAGCTGAGTGACTGGCGGCTTGCCATTTGAACGCCGCATGTAAATTATTGTACGTAGGTAGGAAAAAAAAAACATACTCTGCGTATGTACATACATACTCATACGTTCTATTAAGTATTTGCCGTATGTTAATCTAACGATTATAAATATGGCGATTGTGCGAAACTTTGCCTTGTTATCAATGAAATATAATGTAGATATGAATTCATAATTCCTCTTAACCTCATGATAAGGAGCCTGAATTGAAACCTTTTAAGAAAACTGGGCGTTACAAATTCTTCCCATAACTTATTACAAATAAATTGCTTTATGTTTATTAAATTTTTAGGTAATTCAGTAATGAAGCCTATCTTGGTACGGCCTATGGAATTGCCTTATATATAAGACGATTCTTGATTATAGACAGTTCTTGCTGAAAATAACTGGCAGGCCGTTATCAGGAACGTCATGTAACAATACATCATGATATACTTGGAGCCTGTATGGCCATTAGAGATTAGTGCAACATGATGATCCTCTCTTGAGGTAGCAAACAGTACGTTACACTTATGAAACTTTTAGTATGTACGTACCACAATATTAATATTGTAACATGTTGCGCGACTGAGAACCTCCCTCCACCCTCCTCTCCACGGTAACGTAGCGCTCCCCGCCACTCCCCTCCGCGGTGACGTCACGCGGTGACGTAACGCGCAACGCTAACGTAACCGTAATCAACGTCCTACTGTGACGTGGCACTCATTACGCCACAGGCAAGCACTGCAGCTATATAAGTGGATGCACAGTGCGTATCGATCAGTTCGAGTTCGAGTTCGAGTGCGGCTACCGCCGAAGACATTCCGAGTTATAAAGTAACAGCCAGCCGACTACAAGTTGGAGTATAGCAGCCGTCGCGGAAAGAAGATCCGGACGTGTGTGTAATTGTGTAATTGGGAGCGTGTGATACAGTGATACAAAGCTCCCCTACTGTCAACGTGTTACTACTGAAGATAGAGTGAACTGATTTGCGCATAGGGATATAAGTCGTGAAACCCCGCAACAGTGTCGACAGATTAATGCGATTAGGGTTATAAAGTGTGAAACCCCGCAACTGTGTGATAAGTAATTGTAGCCGTTATTTGTAGATCGTTAAATAAACCAATTAACCGTCTCTACGGCGTCTTCAGTAACCAGAAACACGTTACACTGGTGTCAGAAGTGGGATCAGTAACGTAAACACGTTACAATATGAAACTTCGTTAGCATTATTAATATTTTATTATCATTACCTTTCGAGGAAGAAGCTGTGGAGTGGCTTAGCTTTATGGGGTCATTAAGCGTGCCATCTGCAAGAGACTGTCATTGCGCTCACAATCATACCTCAGGGGACAGGATACATGACTGACAACACTCACCTCTTTGTAAGTTTCCTGATGTGTAATGGGCATTTAAGAAATTAACTGGTATACAAACTACATGGAGCTGAGCCCTACTTGAGAAGCCGCCAGTCGCTCAGCTACTCAAGAATTTCCCAATATTTTATGGAACCCGGTGGTACATTACCGTGTTCACAAGAGCCATCTACTTATCCCTGTCCTGGGCCAGATGAATCCACTCCATACCATCACATTCTGTGATTCTACGAGAAATGGAATTCTAGAATTATTCTATTTGTTTTACAACCACATACGGAATTGGAAACATTTGTCAATAGAAATAAGCAACATATTCGTTTTTCATAATATTCTTGAGGAAGAAGAAGAAGAAGATAAATTATGTAAAGTTTTGCTCATACATATCGTTCGATACTTTGGGGGGGGGGAGTTGTACCTCACTGGGTTTGTAGATATTAAACGTATTATTTACACATAACAATTGGTCTGTACGCACAACCGCTAAGGCAGGAATAACAACTTTCCCTTGCATTTCGCGAAATGTTCAAAGTAGGAGCTGTAAATGGATCACATTGATCTGTATTTTATGTTCTGAACCTCTCACCTGCATCTAGTGCAGAGGTCAACAATGATGGAGCTATACCTCCACTCCCCGACACGTTTTCGTGATTAATTAAGCACGGGGATAACTTTTCCTTTACCTTACCTCACCAACTTGTACAGCAGTGAGTCGGTATAGCTACAGTCATGTTCCGGATCTGTACTCCTATGCCAGATTTCGTTAATTAGGACGTGTAACCTACGGGTGGACTGCCAGACAGATGCAAGGTGAGGTAACTATCCCCCGACTGTTTTTGTGGGTTATCTCACGACGCTAGTTAGACTATGTAGCGTCGAATGAATGAATTGGAAAAGATCTGGAAGGAATTAGTAGTGGCCTACTCATTTTTTTTTCCTTGGCACTACAGCCCCAGTGGGTCTAGGCCTACCTCCATGAACTTCTCCGTTCACTTCGGTTTTTCTAGATCTTACACATTCGGTAGGACTCTTTGGACGGGTGATCAGCTCGTCGCATGGCCTCTACCTGTACACAAACACAGAAAAACGCACACACACACAAACTAAACATCCATGCCCTGAGTGGGATTCGAACCCACGATCCCGGTTTCCAAGCGAGCGAAGACAGTACATGCCTTAGACCGCTCGTACTCATTTACTGCCCAGAAATTTGCTTGGAGGAACTGGGAGTTTCACGAAAACTCTGAGGTAGGATAACGAGTGTCCCTGGCGAGATTCGAGCCGAGAACCTTCCGAATATGAGTCTAGGGTGTCGTCGCTACGTGAACATGTCTGGTGTCTCCTAATTACATATTTGTTAGAGTCATGCACATCATGCAAATGTGCTCCTTGAAATTAGGCAATTGTTTGTGTTCAGTTCAGATTCAATATCCGATGATAAGTTGAGCGTGACTACATACCGCGCGTTATCATACAACGCCATGTACGTGTATATGATATCACGTTAAAGTTAAATAATTCACGGGGACAGTTAACAGATGACCAGTCGACTTCAGACATCAATAATAAGATTACATTCATTATTTCAGAAACCATAACAAGTCCTTTACTAGTGAACTACGGTAACCTTTTGAGTATTGTTATTGGGCCCAGTTAATTGAGCCGGGAGAGCGTAGCCGATATAGCGACTGGCTACAGGCTGGAAGGCCGAGGGGTCGGAGTTCGGTTCCCGGTGGGGGCAAGAATTTTCTCAACGTCGTCCCGACCGTCTGTGGGGTCCAGCCAACCTCCTATCTAAGGGGTAAAGCAGCCGGTGCGATTTAGTTGGTGTGAAATGTTAATTATTTACTATCGCCTGATTGATAAGTTGCCCCAGTGAGTAATTACTACGCCCATGGTGGCATATGATGAAGTGGGCGTTTGGCTTCAGGCTCCATCTGCTCATGGTTGAGGTTCTGGAAAATGAGACAATAGAAGTCGACTTTCTCGGGTTGGATGTTACGTCAGGTCTGTGGAAGTAAGAGTTCAGGTGAGGCTCACCCCATGTACTCCTTGGCAAGTTGAATAAATTAAAAATAGGCCTACATAAGCGTACAATTTATTATTAGTAGTAGTACTGCTTTTTTATTTTATTATTTATTTATCATGTATTACGTTGTTTGTCAAAGACCACTGATGTTGGCAAACACTTGTGGAGACCTCCCACATTCTAACACACAGCTTCGCCTGTCTAACTGGCACGCACGTGCGGACGTCCTGAATTACTTGCTTTCTTACTTACTTACTTGCGTCAGTAGACACATCGCTGTGAAAGATGGACTATCCTGACTGCTTTCGTGATTTTCATCAGTACTTCCTGAAGCTAAGTTACATTCCCTCTTCATGATTCCCAGCTTACTCATAACTACTGTGTCATCTTTCATTCAACCTTAGAAAATTTGCTCAGCTTCCAAATATTTTTCTTTAAACCTTTATAGGACAACGCCGATTAGATAATATTTTAAAATTCTTCACGTCCATTAGAGTTAATAGCGTTTAGAAGGAAAATTCTGCATATTCTGAGACTCAAATAAGCCTAGACCACGAGGAAGTGAAGTGTTATTGAAGTTAAAGCGAGTGGTACACGTACAGAGAGTGCAATAAAACCAAGTCTGCCGAGTACTGTGTGTCTCAACGTGACTGTCACTGTTTGCTTCAGCCCCGAACGCACCGGCCATAATTCCCGAGGAGTGTAGCGCAGAGAACAACAGTGTCACCGTGGCATGGCAACCCCCACCCACATCTTACGTCGAAGGATACGTGCTGGAGCTGGATAATGGCAGTGGTGGAGAATTCAGGGTAAGCAAAAGTTTTAACCTATTCGGGTGGTGGTGGTTGCATTCCTGTGAAATGTGTAAATGGAAGACGTTTCTCCATAGACACTTGTTAGAAAATGAGGTTAAGTTTCAATTGTAAATTTGGTGATTTTCCTATGTTTATCCTTATGAAAGTGAAGTAACCTAATGTGATAAGGATCTTAGAGAAATAGGATTAGATGGCACGAACTGAATTAATCTGGTTCGGGATAGGGACCAGTGGCGGGCTCTTGTGAAGACGGTAATTAACCTTCGGGTTCCATCAGTTGTTGGGAAGTTCTTCAGTAGCTGAACAACGAGTGCCTTCTCAAGCAGTACTCAGTTCCATGGAGTTAACTGATTACTTATTCAGTTAGTTACTTATGGTTGGAGAAAACGTTGAATTTATTAACCCTTTCAAGGTTAAGTTTGTCTATAATATGGATTTCAGCGTACTATAAAGTGGAAATCTTACGAGGAGTTCGAAGTTGGGAGTGTAGTTCCCGATTAGAACGCCAAGGAGAATAGTTCACTATGAAGGGATCAGATCCACTTCATTTGTCGAAAGTTACGAGTATATGCTGTAGTGCCTACGAGATAGTGAAATCTTTTAAGAGTATGTGTTTGGTGCGATATCTCTGCCGTGTCACGAGAAAGACAGCTAAGTCAGTAGTTGGTGAAAATGAAATGGATACATCGCAAATTCTCCTTAATAAGTGTTGTTTCTCCCAACCGACATGTTATTATTTTACATTTTACAAAAATATTACCACATCGAAAGTTGTATATTTTTCGAAAACACTTGCCATATTTTAGGATACTGTATTACGTACCGTTAGTGTCATTCCCACATCACAAGTTCTCGCGCCCGCCATGTTGTTATTGATGGTTTTAGAAAATGGTGACTTCCAGTGGCATAACGCCCATACCAAGTATGTGAAAATCGATGGCTCAAAATCTGATGTCGGGGACAACACACATAAACAGCATGGCGGTCTCATATGGCTCTTTTCCTAATTTAAGGAAGGAATGGCTGATCACAATGGCCGCATGGTCTAAGACACGTACTGTCTTCTACCACTCGAACATTAAGATCTTGCGTTCGAATCCCACTCGTGCCATGGGTGCATATCTGCACTCTTTTTCTGTCTATGTGATACTTTCTCTGTTGAGGCCTTGTGATGGACAGATCCTCTATCCAAGGAATCCTACCTAGTGTTTGTAAGAGTCATAATTTCACATATTAATTCTGAACAGGCCAAAGGGCCTAATTCGTGAAGGAAAAAGAAGACGGAGAAGAAGAAGAAGAAATGGTTTAGTCTAAATATGGAATGAGTATTTCTCGGAGAAATGGGTCGATATTTGAATACATTTAATTGAATATAGGTCATAAGCTTTGCTTTTGCTTTGAAGACATTTAAATTATATGAATGATCGGCCGAGAATTAAGTTGCCTTTCCCCAAGTGCAAATCGAAAATATTTTTAGTGGATAATTCTACACTTCATGGATATTAATACAAGCTGAAACATTAGTTCATATATATATATATATATATATATATTCATATAAAATAAGAGGCAGTAACAGTATTTTAATGGATAAAATTACTCTTCGTTAAAATTTTATTAAGACCTTTCCATCTTACTTACTCATGGAGCTGAGCCCTTCTTGAGGAGCCGCCAATTCTGCAGCTACTCAAGAATTTCCCAGCATTTTATGGAACCCGAAGGTCCATCACCGTGTTCACAAGAGCCCTCCACTGGTCC